TGCCCCATAGATTCTTCCTCTTCTATTATCTCTATTATTTCAATTTCTTCCGTATGAACGGTTGCATTTGTATTTGTCGTTTCAGTTTCTCTTATTGTTGCATTTGTCTTGATATTATTATTAGTATTATCTACCTTACTATTGTTGTTGCCGTTATCCGGTAGATATAACGATGGTATAACACCAGGTTTTAATCTTCGTAATCTGTATGTCGCTTCATAATCGCTATCTGCAAAATGTCTATAGCATACAACGCATTTTCTCAATTGTTCATCGGTTAAATCTCGAATATTCTCCGAGTAAATAGCTTTTCTCCATTTATTCATCATAGTTGCATCTTTGGGGAATGTGTGAGAGGGTAGACTCACCCCTGTAGAGCATCCTGAAACGCAGCAATGTCTACCCATAACCTGAAACAATAAAATATATCGTTCCAAACATTTCTTTAACCGAACCTATTCTTATCCTAATGTTTATACCTATTGTAGCTGCTGATAGTGAAACGTATATACTGACTAAACTTGACCTAGCTTGATAAAGCAACAGTTAAACGAAAAAAACGTGGACAAAACACGACATTTGCGCGCTTAGCGGAGACAAGAACCAAAGAGAGATTTCAAGTTTCCATTAGAGCATTAGAGTATATACAAAAGCACTGTATTACCGGCAATATTTCGCCAAACATAATACAAACTTGTTAACCGACACACGTAATATCTCTCTTTTGTTATATTTGATTATATTTATATGATATTTGCAAATTATTTTTAATTAGCTATTATTACAACATACATTTTATCTTTTCCTATCTTTATTTTACATGCTATCTTAAAAGATATATTTTAATTGTTTAATGTCCGATCAAGATGTATGATTGAAAATTAAGTCTCTATTAAATAAAATTAAAATTTTCCCGCTAAACAAAATTTAAATCTCCGATAAATAAAAGTGTCTCTACATGGCACAATTCTGAATCTACGCAATGGTACCGGTATACTTTTCTGCGCAGACGCTCGACGCTTTGATGCTGCCATCTAGAGGGACCTTAAGGGTACGTTCCGGCAGACGCTTTGAATGTTTTCAAGCGTTTGATTGACCAATCAGATTTAAAAAATTTTTTTACTCCTTTTATTCCGATTGGTCAATCAAACGCTTCAAAGCATCCAGAGCGTCTTCTCGACCGCAGTCAGAGTAGCGTTTAAATGGCCAATCGGAGAAAGAGCAAAGATTTCTTTGTCCTGATTGGTCAATTTAACGTTACTTTATCCTATGGGTGACACCCGATATTCATCACCACGTCGCTAATTGGTCAATTCAAAATAAGACTCTCTGATTGGTCAATCGTTGCTGGTTACCCTAGGCACAGGTCAGGATATAATTGGCTGTGGTCAGACGAGCACTCCTACAAAGAGAATTTTCAAACGTATCCTAAAGGTGCAATTTCATTGACGCTAGAAACCAGCGGCAAATTAAAATCACTAGACTTTCTCTAGATTTGGCGTCAATAAAATAAAGTTCAAACAGTTTCAACTTTTTCAGTGTATAAAGCGGCCTTTTCATTGACGCTACTTTTTAGCGTCAATGAAATTGCACCTTAACAGTTGGCAGCCCTACAAGATAGGCTGTGCAGCACTGCGCGTATATAAAATAAATTTGAAATCGCTTCTAGCCTAACCATCTTCACGCGATCGACTTTATTTGAATTGCACGGCATCGCATCGAATTATGATGCGGCGTCGATTTGTTCGAACGTAATTCGGGACATCGCGATGCTGTATAAGCGTCGAATGAGCACGAATTGTCACGCAAATATGATAAATCACATCTACTCACCGTTCACCGACTGTTCCACAGGCCGCTCCACTCGCTCGCCTCGGGACGTCCCATTCCGATCTTGATGCACACGATATCATCAACGCGAACGCGCGACACTTTATTCGGCACTCCTGATATTCGCTCGCATCCGATAATTATCATCAAGGGCGCAAATAACGCGACGCGACTTCGCTCCATCTTCGCGATCGCGCTATCACTGAACTGTGAAAAATAGCTGTCGCGCACTTTCACCGACATATTATGAAAGTCGCGCGATCATCCTTGGACACTTTCGACGCTCTTTCACTCGCGATATTCGTTTAAAAACGGTTAAAAGACGCGAAAAATGCGGACGTACGACGATCCGTGTAACTGCGTATGACTCCGATTCACGCGTCAACATGGCGGCCGTATGACGCGTTTGACGTAGCAGTGACGTAGCTGTGACGTCGCAGCACGCGCCAACATGGCGGCCGAACCAGTGCGCACTGGTTCGGCCGCCATGTTGGCGCGTGCTGCGACGTCACAGCTACGTCATACGCGTCATACGTGACTCGGAGTCATACGCAGTTACACGGATCGTCGTACGTCCGCATTTTTCGCATCTTTTAACCGTTTTTAAACAAATATCGCGAGTGAACGAGCGTCGAGAGTGTCGAAGGATGATCGCGCGACTTTTATAGTGTGTCGATGAAAACGCGCGACAGCGATTTTTGACGATATTCAGTGATGGCGTCATCGCGAAGATGGAGCGAAGTTGCGTCACGTTATTCGCGCCCTTGATGATGATTATCGGATGCGAGCGAGTATCGGGAGTGCCGAATAAAGTGTCGCGCGTTCGCGTTGATGATATCGTGTGAGTTTGTGCGCATAAAGATCGGAATTGGACGTCCCGAGGCGAGCGAGTGGAGCAGCCTGTGGAACAGCCGATAAACAGTGAGTAGATTTGATTTATCACATTTGCGTGACAATTCGTGCTCATTCGACGCTTATACAGCATCGCGATGTCCCGAATTACGTTCGAACAAATCGGCACCACCATCATAATTCGATGCGATGCCGTGCAATTCAAATAAAGTCGATCGCGTGAAGATGGTTAACTAGAAGCGATTTCAAATTTATTTTATATACGCGCAGTGCTGCACAGCCTATCTCGTAGGGCTGCCAATTGTTAAACGATAAATTTTTTCGATCTAACCTAACCTAACCTAAGCTCAGTGCTTTGGATGTCGAATGTAAACATAAGCGTATGCTGCCTGGATTTTATCATGCTTTCAAAAATAATATTTAATTATTTCATTAGTGTATTACATTTTATTACGTAGTATATTAATCGTATTAAATGTGCGACGTACAGTTTTACACATTTTAATGAGAAGCATATAATATAATTGGTTAGGTTAGATTAAATTAAAACAAGCTGCTGTGATTCATTTAACGTAATAGGATTAATTTGACGAATGTGCAGCTATTGAAGTTACATGATATTTGTGAACATATTTTTAAAGTAAACATGAGTGTCTTATCTCATCTTGATTATATGAAATTAAAATATAAAATATTTATGTATTCCATATTAACGTTATTCATTACATCATTACAAGTACTATATTACTTTTCTTATCATCATATTCTCAATCATATTTCATCGATGAAGCTTTTCATATATCGCAGACAATATGATACTGTGTGTGGAATTTTACACAGGTAATACATGGCACAAAAATAATTTGTTCTCAAGTATTGTGCGCATTTCTTCTATTGACAAGTATTTTCTTACAGTGTGTTCCTTATATGTAGAAATATACATTAATCTTTAACCAGCCCTATTTTTAATCGTCTTTAGGGATGCTTTGGCTTTTGATAACGCAAATCCAGCCAATCCATTTCCATTCCCAGTTACTATAAATGAATTGATTCTAGTCTTATGTGCTAAGTTACTGTCATACAAGTTATCATTTTGTTTTCCAAAATCCAGGTTTCAAAACTTTCAAATGTATCTGCAGAAAACAAAGATATTAATTATATATGATTCTAATATTTAGAACTGAAACATCAAAAAAAAAAATTGAAAATAGACATCGTATCACATGATTTTTGTATGTGTGTAATTTAACCATTATAATCCAATAATAGCATAAATATTAACCTTTTCCAATAAGATCTGATTCAATGCTTCTGCCATCCATTGTAAAACTCCTCCAACCACATTCCAATGGCGATAATTTTATTTGCATTGGTCTGGTCTGACTTTGTGGTAATTCCATAAGTTTTTGCTTTCTTTCAAGATTTACAAGCAGTTTCAGCTGTTGAATTAATTCTTTTCCTCTAAACACAGAAGTGTTCAGACCAGGAAATTGTATTGAAATTTTTCCCATGCCAATAATTTGCTCCTTATTTAGGTCTCTCTTTTCACTACTCTTCTTGCTCTACCTCTGCGTCTTCCTGCATTACTGATACTTGTCACATCCTTTCATAATTCATCTTCAGGTCCTATAGAACAAAAGCACAGGGAAATACAAACTATTTTCTACTGTAAATATAAACTATTATCAAAATGCTATATCCATAAAAGTTCTACTTACTATTTGCAAAGAACATAGAGTTTCTCACATTATTTAATAAAGTGACTATTTTTAATAAATGTGAATGATTGACAAGCAATAAATTAAACAATATTAAACAATATATACCTGAAAAAAATTTCAATTTTATTAGAATTAAATTGATAAATTAATTTTGAATAAATATATGTTAATTACATATAATGATTTAGAGACAATGATATATTTCATTTGCGTTACCATTGTTTACAGATTGAACATTTTTATCAAATTATTTACAACTCTACAAATATGTAGCATACGACAAGCCATTTTTAAAATCTATAAAACAAACAACAAAGTTGTTCATAGTTTTCACTCTTTTTTGTCATAGTCTGCTTTTAGGCGATCTTAAAGTCACTAGATTAACAAAGTATCCGGCTTTAGGTTATCCCTAAAAGGACGATGCGTCCTCTATAAACATAAAAATATGAACTGAAGGTGCAATTTCATTGACGCTAAAAAATAGCGTCAACCATTGGTGCAACTACTTACTTCTTTGTTCAACCAATGGTTGACGCTACTTTTTCGCATCAATGAAAAGGCCGCTTAAGAGATTCGAATCTCGGCTCGAAAATAGGTTTGAGTCTCGGCTTTAAATTTTAAATACGATGTAAATGCCAAGAACTAGCATCATATGGAAATATTCACGTATCAATTTGAATTATATATTGCGATCCTTTGGCAACATGATTGACAGGATTTTGAAATTATATTGTTCGCATCTTTTACATGGCGACACATTTTTAAAAAAGATGAAGATATCGCGCAAATATTTTAAATATGTGCAAACGTGCGGCGCTTGTTGTTTGTTATGTTCGAGTGTCGCTTGCCAACGCGTTTCGTGAAATGAAATAATCGATAAAGACACGCGTATGTGCACGGCGCAAAAAGACACAAAATGGTAAATATATTTTTTATATTTTAATTTTATATTCTTATTTTATATTCTTATTTTATATTCTTATTCTTATTTTTATTAATTTTATATTCATTTTTACACAATGTATTATATACACAATGTAGTAAATGCTATGATTTTCATGGAGGAGAATGTTATTGTTGAACTGAAAAAAATTGATATACAATTTATCATTAGAATATTATATAAATATATCTTTGCAATAGATCTTGTCAAGGTCCAAACCAGCTTCATCCGAGGGTGTTCGTAAATCAGCATCACGTAAGGAAATTCCAAAATTGGAAGATTTCCTAGAGAAACGAGATTATATCGGAGCCTTGACATTACTGGAATTTGATAATAGTACCAGTAATAGCTTGGAAACAGATCTATGGATGGGATACTGTGCATTTCATTTAGGTGATTACAAGCGTGCAGCAACAATCTATGAAAACTTGAGGAAAAATGATTATATACCACCAGACGTCCTAACAAATTTGGCATGCTGTTATTTTTATTTGGGCATGTATCCTGAGTCACAAAAGATCTTGGAAGATGCAGCAGACAGCAAATTGAGAACTAGACTGCTGTTTCACTTGGCCCACAAGATGGGCAATGAATCAAAATTAGTGGAATACCATCAAATGTTACAGGATGTTATTGAGGATCAACTCAGTCTAGCATCTATTCATTATTTACAAGCTCATTATCAAGAAGCTATTGATGTATATAAAAGAATTTTGTTGGATAATAGGTAATTGATAATATTTCTCCTCCCTCTCTTCTTTCTTTTTGCTGACAAAAAATTTTTAAAAATATCTTGGCACACTATTTCTTATATCTTTTTATAATCATTTTTTTACTCTGTATCTTTTCATTATTTATGTAAATTTAGAAAAAGTACCGCTAAAAAATGTGACTCCAGAATTGATTCCGAATTGTATTTCCTTACCCAACTGCAGGAAAATTGCAGGTATCTTCCTTTCTCATTCCTCTCATGATCCAAAGATATTTCTATCATATTTCTCACTAAACAAAACATTTAGAATATTAATTTTCATCTTATAAAGCGATATAGCTTTAAGTTGTGTAAATGTTTTATATAAATATATTTTTTTTTTTCAGGGATTATCTAGCCTTAAATGTATATGTAGCTTTATGCTATTACAAGCTAGATTACTACGATGTAGCACAAGAAGTGCTTCAAGTCTACTTGCAAAAGTATCCAGACAGTGCAATCGCGATTAATTTGAAAGCGTGTAATCATTTTCGTTTGTACGATGGAAATGCTGCACAAGCCGAGATGAAACAGCTTATTGAAAAGATATCTAGTTCTTTTAGTTTTGGTCATGATCTTATACGCCATAACACAGTTGTATGTATGTGTAATTTCTTTACGTACGTTTTGCTTTTCCTTTTTCATCTCATTCCTTCATTCTTTATATAGGTATTCAGAGGAGGTGAAAATGCTTTGCAAATTTTACCCAACTTGGTCGATGTTATACCAGAAGCTAGGCTTAATTTAGTGATATATTATTTGAAACAAGACGATGTCAAAGCAGCCTATGATTTGATAAAAGATTTGGAACCTGCTGTTCCACAAGAATATATTTTAAAGGGTATAGTTAATGCTGTTATGGGTCAAGAGACCAATTCTGTAGGTACCATTAGATTTTAATTTGCGTATTAATTACATGACACTAACGTTCATCATTTATCGGAAATTTTTTTAGCGCGACAGTATAAAAACAGCGCAACAATATTTTCAACTAGTGGGTTCCTCGGCATCGGAATGCGACACTATACCCGGCAGACAATGCATGGCCTCTTTCTTCTTCCTTTATCGTCAATTTGAGCGAGTTCGATTATATCTGAATTCTATAAAGACGTACTTTTCCAATCAGGACAATTTTAACTTTAATTACGCCCAAGCACAAACTGGAGCAGGTTACTTCAAAGAAGCAGAAGAAGCTTTCCTGATGATACGTACTGAAAAATATAAAAATGATTATGTTTACATTAGCCTTCTGTCATATTGTTGTAAGTATACATATATATTTGTATAATCTTCGTTAAAGTTTTCTTGCACAAATTATATATGTAATAATAATCTGACAATTATTTGGCTTTATACCAGATATAATGAATAAAAAAGCTGAACTAGCCTGGGAACTGTATTTAAAGATGGACACATCTGCAGAATCTTTCAATCTACTCCAATTGATTGCTAATGCGTGTTACAAGGTAGGTGAATTCTGGTATGCTGCCAAGGCATTTGATATGCTGGAGCGCATGGATCCAAGTCCTGAACATTGGGAAGGAAAACGCGGCGCATGCTGCGGCACTTTTCAATACATCGTTGCGGAAAAATTACCAAAGTATGTGTGATTTACATATATTACAGATTCGTAAAAGATTAGAGGATATCGATTAATTTATAAATCTTGTTGTATAGAGAACTGTTGTCAGACGTGATACAGCTTCTTAAAAATACATCCAATTCCCAAGTGGAACAGATAATACGCGTTATGCGCAAATGGGGAAAGGATAACAGAGTAAACTGTTAGCATCATTGAAGATCACATTATTATCAATTCCGTCCAAAAAAATTCAATCTTTATAAAATAATAATGTTACAAAAGATGTTTATGTATAGAGAAAATAATAATTGATATATATATATATATATATACACATATATATATATATATATATATATATATATATATATATTGATATATTATTGATATATTATATATATATATATTTTTTTTTTTTTGTAATGAGAAGTTATATAATTTCCCCTTTATACAGGGTATCCGGAAAATTGCCCGCAGTAAGAAATATGGGCGATTTTCCAGACATCCTTCAAAAAGTGGTTCGGGACCCAAAAAGAAGGGAAAAAAGTTATAGGTCTGGAAATAAATCATTTCCAAATTATAGGCACTTTTATATTAAAACAATCGTCATTTATAGTCCACTTGGCATCCTCTTTTTTAAATTTAAATTTTTAAATTCAAATTTTTAAATTTAAATTTTTAAATTCAAATTTTTAAATTTAAATTTTTAAATTCAAATTTTTAAATTTAAATTTTTAAATTCAAATTTTTAAATTTAAATTTTTAAATTCAAATTTTTAAATTTAAATTTTGAATTCAAATTTTTAAATTTAAATTTTGAATTCAAATTTTTAAATTTTTAAATTCAAATTTTTAAATTTAAATTTTGAATTCAAATTTTTAAATTTAAATTTTAAATTTAAATTTTTAAATTCAAATTTTTAAATTTAAATTTTTAAATTTAAATTTTTAAATTCAAATTTTTAAATTTAAATTTTAAATTCAAATTTTTAAATTTAAATTTTAAATTTAAATTTTTAAATTTAAATTTTAAATTTAAATTTTTAAATTTAAATTTTAAATTTAAATTTTTAAATTTAAATTTAAATTCAAATTTTTAAATTTAAATTTTAAATTCAAATTTTTAAATTTAATAATTTGAATTTAAAAATTTAAAACCAAAAATTTATAATATGGATTAAAAATAACACCTCATTATTGATTTAATATAAAATAGATATATTTAAACTGGTGTAGTACACACTCATTTTTTAAATATAATATCAATAATATAATAATATAGTAATAATAATAATTTTTAACAAACACAATCGGTGAATTCTAAAACCATCATAGTCATCATGGCAATAATTTTCGTACGCTTGTTTCTATTCCACCAATTTTTCATATGCAAATTATTTTTGAAAAACTGCAAATATCTTAATACATGTACAATTTGCTTGTTTAGAGATTGCAGTTTATCAAAAATATTCTCGGTGGAATGACGATAGATTTAGGCTGCGTTCGTTTTGACGGTTTTAGCGCTGAAAGCATCGCTCTATCTTCGTTTGATATTCGATGTGCAATAAAGACAGAATGATGCTCACATTGCGTAAACGTACAAAGCGAACGCAGCCTTAGTATGAAAAGAAGAAGGGAAGGGCAAAAGAAGGAAGAAGAGGATACTAGTTGACTGTCTCAAACATTAGTATCCTGGAAAATTGAGCAGACAGGAGTAAATATTCTAACATTTAACCATTAATGTAACAATATCATGACAGATAAAGAAATTCTACCATTTCTTGAATCGGATTAGAGGACAAAAAACATCTATATTAAATTATTTGATTATGGATACATTAGCCAATATAATCACAAAATTGTCAAAGGATTTTAAATAAAATCATTGCACACAAAGCATATATAAAACTTTAAGAATTATCTTGTATGTACATATTGTAGAACATGATAGAGAAATGTATTTATATATCCAAGAATTCAATATTCTTTGTCTCTCTCTCTCCAATCCGATTCTGTTTCATAAACTCATTTCTTTCGAAAAAGTGAGGAAAAGAACAATCGCTTTTCGATCCATAGCTCTCTACACCGCGTTTACTTGATGTGTTTGTGGAGAAAGAGTGCCTGATACAAGTCATTACTACACCATCATTACATTATAAAAATAGCATCGAGAAATTTCAGCGTTTTCGTATTTCTTTTCGGCGGAATTTCAGGTGCACTATGCTACGGATTTTTATCTGTTGAATAATATCATGCTTAGTGTGATAGCACTCGTTCTCCGCAACGCGCTTTGTTGCTTTTCTATGCTTTCTATGCATCGGCAGGTGTAAGAGCTTCACGAGAAAATCCACACACTATATTCGATTATTACATACCATTAATTTAAACATCATTATTTCTTTCGAGTCGCGTAATGCATAGATACATTGTGTCGAATATCAATAGATTAAGACGTAAGATTTAGCAGGATTACGTTACTAGTATAGATACGGTAATGATACGGCGGAAATTTTTGCAAAATTTTACCTTGTTATAAATTGCGACAATTATCTTTCTTTCTTTCTCACACACATATACATAAACACATTTATACTTTTCATTCGCGCGTTCTTTCTCATTAATATTCTAGAATTTTCATGCTTTTCCCATTCACACGCGTTTTACACATGATACACGAAGAGAAATAGCGACTAATTTTCTGCCAATTCCAATTCTTGACGTTCAAGCACGGTGGGTATGTAATATATGTATTCGAGCAATATCAAAGCCAAACTCACAGTGAATGAAGCATAGACATGTATGTATCTGTCTATGATAGAAGAAAATTGAATAAAAACAAAATTTGAAATAATTTTTATTCAAGATTTTGAAAAAAACATGTTTCCTAACATGAATGATAGAATATGAGTTTCGCTTTCATATTTCTCACATTAATTTTGAAAAACTTTACCGAAATTGAAACCGCTATAATTTCGAGTTTAATTTTCAATCACTTTAAAAATGTACGCGAGAAAAGAATTTTTATAATAAATGCTTAATATTTATTTATTCGCAAATAAGGATCATGCAGGTATCAAAACATGAATTTAATAAAATTATAATATCGGTATCAATCTCTGCTCTGTACGATAGCCGGAGCGCTTCGGTGTCAGTCCGTTTCTACTTAATGTTTCGCAACATCCTTCACATGTCCCTTGTCTTCGAGTTACAGCAATAATTTTAAAAATCTTTTTTAAACAATTTTACAAACTTTCTTTAGTCTTTCATTTTTTTACTACAATATCGAATGTAAGTTTATATTAAACGACGAATCTCCTCTCTAAATAAGCAAATCCCTCAAAAATGATACACACATACATACACATTATTGACAAAAAAATAAATGATTTCTTCTTTTTTTAAAGAGTAACTCTTGGATTTCTAATTTGCAGCAGAATTAAGCTTCTAATATTTCGAACTTGAGTTTTTTTATATAAGTGGCAATGCCGTTAGCTGAGAATTTGTATTAGTATAGTACATTATCAGTTTTCTAAAAATCAGTTTTCCAAAACTATGAACTGAACAATTTCTTAATCTTAAATGTATAAAAACAATGTTTCCAACAAGGCATATCCTTAGATTCGTCATGTATATTATTATGCACGAGCAAGAAACTAACATGCATATTTGTGTATTTGGTTACTGCACTCGAATGGACGACGGATGCTGCAATAATACACACATCGAAGGATTCATACGGTGCGTAGATTAAACGAATAGGCGTGATCTGCGCAATGTAAGAATCGCCTCATCGCTTATATCGATAAGTTACATAATAAGATAGTAATAAGAAAAAAACTACTTAAAAATCCATGTACACAGAGTATTTATAATAGAGTGGCTATATATATATATATATATATATATATATATATATATATATATATACATATATATGTGCATATGTGTGTGTGTGTGTGTGTATATATATACATATGTATATATATTATATATATACACGGCCACCAGAAAAATTCTCTCTCCATCATATATGAGTAGTAGGGGACATAAGACCAGCGGAATATAAGACTCAATTTCTTATGTATTTTTTTCCTCTCAGCTAAACGAGCGAGATCCAAAGTGATAAACCTCATAGCATACGCTCGATGCGTAGCTTTGAATGTGTGTAAATTACACATGTGTCGTTTGGCATTTTCATATGGCATTGCTTAGTGCTCGGAGGTGAATTGACAGGATCCGATATTAATATATATATGTATATACGTAATATATATATATATATATATATATATATATATATATATATATATATACATATAACGGATGCCTTTTACGGAAAACGATGCATTGGATTGGCAGCATACAATTTGTGCTATATATAATTCGACCGATTAGATATGCGCAGCTTTTCCATTTTTTCGCACACAGTCTTTATGTTAGGTATATGTTAAAAAAAGGGACCCCCATTTTTTTCTCGACTTGTTGGCTTTTGATTTCTTCTTCATCGATTTCTTGTTCCATCTGTGTGCTGTACGATTACTTTGACTGAGAGAAAATGCGAAGAGATACAAGTATTTGATACTTGTATTACTTGAAAATGAATATCGAGTAAACTAAACTGAATAGCCAACGTTCTTTGTTTCTAATCTCTCGAGAAAAAAGAAACAAAGAGACTCGATATCCTCGAATCAAATCGCGAATTAATCTAGAACGATGTTCCTTCCGCGATACTGAAACATACGAGTATTATTCTTACACAAATACTTGAAGAGGAATTCGCGTCGGATCACACATCATTAGCGCTCCATAGAAGGAAAAAAAAAAGAAAGACGTCGCGAAAGGATCATTGGCCTATTTCAGTCTGTATCAAACTTGGTCTTTAATTTAACTTTTGGTGTTCGCACAAACCGTGGCACGCTCGGGAACAAACGGGAACAAAGTATTATACGTAGTCTCTTTTAAATCCTGGCTTGTCTCTCTTCTTGAGCGTTCGTTTGTAGCTGCGCGTGAGGCTGTGCGTTGCCACACTGTTCAGTGCAGTTTTCGTGCATGCCACGGTACTTGTTTCCTAATTTCTATCCCTGAAACATAGAATAAGAATATTTTCCTCTCTTGATTCATAACCAATTTGATCGCAAAGAGCGATAATTTTTAAACTCTGTCTAAAATTATTTGAAGAGCGCAATTTAAAAAACGACGATGACCATTACACAAGCAAATATTATCGATATTCGGAAATACTTGCCCCGGTCCAGGATAGTAATAGGGCGGCGGTCGTTCATATTCGGTGCTCAAAGGAGGCGGAGCCCCGGCAGCTGGTTGATACCTTGGCGGACCACCGTTGGGAAAGTCCCAATTTCTGCAACGACAACATTCGTGAGTTTCATCATTATTTAGAGTCGCGTTCAACGTTCGATTTTGATTACAAGTTAAGTTATAGCGCTTGTACTTTCTAATGAGTTGTATTCATTCGCTTAACCCTTTCTGCTACCCGGCAGGATCGCCATAAAAGAAAAAAGATTTCACGTAAAAGTAAATTTTGGTAGCGAAAGGGCTAAACATAACGCATCTATCGTGTCCTTGCCACAGTAAAATGCCATTTGCGAACTAATATATGATATAGCAGCCGCCCAACAAGCGAAATGAAATTAAGACCGTACGTAATTTGAGATTGTCTCGCGTATAATGCAAAATATAATTACGCTGGAGAAAATGACATGCTTCTCCGCGAAGAAAAGTTGTAAAGTATCTTTAAGCTAAAAATTAACGTTACAAGATAGACATTACTCGACACGAGTAGTATATATCGACATTTGATGTACAACTGCTTCTCTTGTTAAATGTTACTATATTCCACAGTCAATGATAAGCGTCTCCATAGCGGAGAGGAAACTGGACAATCACTTGGACCCTGCTTCAGATGTTTCTTATTTGTTATGTATACTTCTTGCGAAAAGCCTAGTTTTCTTGCAAAGCTATTCGTGACCAGTTAAAAAAAAATGGAACAGAAAATAAACAGATCGAACGAATGCACAGAAGAAGGACGCAGAAACACTTGTAACAATAGTCTTTGCGACTTACGTGCAGAGGCGTATACGTGAGAGACGCGAGAGGTCGACCCCCCGCAGAGTTCCCACTCACCTGGAAATAACCGGGAGAAAATCGTGACCATCGGGGTTGCATTAAATGCGTCGACACATGATATGACAACAATTCAACTCAACAATTAAACAGAAACCGTCACCATCACGCATTAAATCATCAAGTCGGAACAATCGACATTGTTTTGCTTCATCCGTGGATAGAAGCACGAATATCACATGCTCCATCATCGGGATTTTTCATGTGAAATTTGTTCTTCTATATCACCAAAACCGCGGACCAACGTCGATCGTCCGAGCTCTATAAGCTATGGAAACGATGCGATATCATTCGATGAGTGGGAACCCTGTTCGTGCCGAGTAAGAAAATGACGAAGAAATATTTCAATCTCGCCAGAGGTTTGATATACTCAAACAAAGTAAAAGCATTACGTATCACAGAAAGCTGTTTTATTGCTTATCGCTCCGATTAGAGACTTACTGCGACTCTAGTGATACGCTAAAGACTTTATTGTGAGGTTCTGTTTTGGAAGGGGCGATATGTTCGTGGTTTCGCCACGATAGGGTGAAACTGTAAAGAAATCAGACGTGACCGATAAAACGATGAGGGGAAAAATAGAGATAGAGAGAAAGAGAGAGAGGAAATTTCAGGACGACGTTACGTTTACGTAACGTAACATCGCCACCTTTTATCATATTAAATCCTGTCTCATTTTCAACGTTTTAATCGATGTGCATACAGTGTCGGTAACGAGACTACCGAGAAGAAAATTGCTTTCCCAGAAAATCCCATGGTGGAATAATATGAGTGAATAATGGGCTCGAAAACACTCCAACTTACTTCGGTGCCAGATCGGAATATCTCGAATCGTGATGCGACGTACTCTGATGGGCGTCGGGGATTCTCTCACGTTCACTATATCCCACTGCCGGACCGTCGTAGCTCTCGACATATGCCGCTGGATGATGGTGCCTGCTATGGGAGACGTGCTTCTTGTCGTGAACGCTGCAATCAAACGCGATATGTAGTTAAAATGTTAGAATGAAGCAAGCACTCGTCATGCGAGTTAGAGATTAAGTGTGTTGTACACGCTAAGCCGCGGTGTATCAGTTAAAAATCTTTCGATCGTTTCCCAATCTATCTCATCATTTGGGAAACACTTTTCTGGATAGTGTGTATTAATCCCCGAACCGCACACAAATGATTTAATTTTTTGTAATAATTAAAGATTTGATAAAAAGATTCAAACTATCCAATTGCTATGCAAAATCAATCGGTATACAATCCTAGGATAAACACTTCCCAGATGATTAAAATCGATGCTATATGTTTCTAAAAGCCGTCATCTATCCGCATACATATGTATGTTTCTCCTAACGAAGCTCCTACATAAGCAAAAATTACCAATATGCCAAATAATAAAAATATAATTGAATAAGCAGAAAATAATTCCAGAATGCGTGTTAAGGAAATTCAAAACACTGCAATATATTAAAATCTTACAATGCAAGAGCGTCAATTCGAGAAGATTGTTAGAATCTTGATACAAAATGCATATTACGTGCGATAATATAAAATATTCAAAATATTAACGAAAAATGTTCAACATTACGTTAAAGTAATGTATGTAAAAAAGACACTTTACATTGTACAAATGTATATACCTTTTTTATTCCTTAGACGAATAAGCAAAAGAGAAAGAGAGAGATAGAGAGAGAAGGATAGTAAAAAATATATATATTAGTGATATTTGAGGTTCTTTATTTAGATTCAAATAAGAATTTAATTGATTGCAAATGTAAATAAAAAAATAAAAGATATACATATTTTTAAGTATAAAGCGTCTTATTTATGTACATTTTTTTATTTATTTGCGCAAAAAACGATTATGTTAAAGTTGTTATCTTTTAAATAGTGCACAATATGACTTTTCCTCTTCTTTTTCTCTAACGAAAAACATATATTTCATGTAACAAAATATTATTCTTGATTAGCAAAAATTGAACCAAAATTTAATGAAAAACGCAGCAGAGAAAATGATGCGATACAACTACAGATACACTTCAGATGATAATGTTTTATATGTACATGCGTGGACGTATATCTCGGAATATACGTAGGACATGCGAGCACATTGTAGCTTTGTCGTGGTATACTTACTGGGCGAGGGGTATGTTATCCCTGTCTGCGTACGCGTCATACAAATATTCACTGTAACGGAGCGTGTTAGCGGTTAGATTCCAACAACCATTCCACACATTAGACGGCTACTTTAAACATAAGCTAAGCTACCACGATAGACCGCGCGAATGTTCGGTCCTAATGTTAGAGATAAAGATTTACCGTAATTTCTCATTTTGTTATCTTTAGAAAAAAAAAATGCGCAGATGAATTGCGATATGTTATCGAGATATTTTTGCAACATTAAAGTAGTATGGGTGAAATTTTATTGGTGTAGTATATATAATTCCAATACCATAAAACTTGCTTTATTTAATAGTACAAAATTTCACTTCTATTTATGTATTAGAATTGTTAATTTGTATGCGTTTCATAAGAAAGTATTAAAAAACTGAAAATGGATAATTATTATATCTTTGATAATTATCTCCGCTTTTATCCTTTTCGAGATTGAAAGAACACAATTTCGAGTCAGGATATTCATCAGAATTTCCAGGATCGAAAAATTTCTTTGTAAATGGAAAAACGAGGACATGCCGACTATCAAAGATGTTACAAAGCGCGAAGTACATGCTATGGTATATGGAAGCTCGAAAGTGGCTACGAGATGGAAATGAAGGATTCAACAATTTCTACATGACAGAGAGGTTCGTTGAAATTCGCAGAAAAAAAGGATAGAATAAGAAAAGCTTTATCTCGTTTTGGATTTAAAATGTAATGTATCATTATTTCTTATATTCTATTTTTTTTCTTTAAATTCGCGCAATCAACGAATAATTAATCAATGATTCGATAAATGATTCATGTTTGATGCATGATATCGACCGACAATATCTACGAAGGACACATTAGTATCTCAAATATCATCATGCACCATAGATTGAATGAGAAATCAAAAACAGTTAAAAATATGTTTTTTAAATCGCAGTCGTGAATCGCTATATTCACAAAAAGAGAATGGAAACTTACGCTTCGACAAGAGGTCCTGGATATGGATCTGACTTTTGATACAAAGCACTCAGTTTCACACAGAGCACTATCGTTGGTATGAATAGGATCAAGCACCAACCGACGCTCGCCCAGAAGCCGTTCTGCGCATATAAATGCAAATATCAGCATGAATATTAATTCTTAGCAAGGTTCGTTTAATTTTACAATATCGCGACGTGACAAATTTGCTCGTCAGCTAGGAAACTCGTAGAATACTTGGACAATTTAATGAGAGTCATCTATTTGAGAAACATGATAGATAATTAGTCTTATATTTCGATAAAAAAATCAACAATTGAAATATAGATTTAAGAAGGCGGAAAATGTAATGATACTCACAAATGGATCTAGGATCTTATTGCATCCTGCTACGAGCGTTGCATTGTAAGCATTCGAAACGGGAGCGCATCTGCCAATCTTGAAACTCGCAGATGCAATCACATGTTCAAGAAAGTTATCCACTTGATGTAAGAACGCATTGCCAAATCTAGTCGCGAGCTATCAATAATGTTAATAATATTAATTACATTTATATACGTATAATTTTGCAAAAATGTGAGAAAAAGAAGGGTGAAATACATACATATTGAACGTATTCTGGTCCATCTTTATTCAGAAATTGTTGCGCCTTAGTAACTTCATCTACTAGATCGTGAATAGCGTCTGCCATTGAGCTGTGATTGAATTTAATGTTCTCTTGAAGCATCAATGCGTTTGCGCTTAATTGTTCGCTAAGCATAGCCATTGGCATGACCAAGTCTCTATGATAGTGCTCCAAGTCGTGCGCATTCTTTTCGAGACTGAGCCTGATTTCATCTTGGCCCTCTGGCAATTTAGCGGAAACGTCTCGCAATTTTTTAGCAAGATGTTCCAAGTTAATATTCGTGATGTTTTCGGCAAGCAACTCGGCATATTGATAAAATTTGATGTCACTGAGACCGCTCTGAGCTAGATCGTTCAACTTGGATCTCGCACTGTCCTTCAGAATCACCACACCGGGGGAAAGGCTAATCTTGCGCCGCAATTGTTGGATGGTGTCGTTGATGTCGTAACGCCCAGCATAATCGCGCAGACTTTCAACGTCAAATATAGTTTTCAGATTCAGCACGTTGTAAAGCGTCTCATTTTCATGGCATTTACTATAATAAGAAATATATCAAATATCAACAAAATTTCGATATTGATTTAATTATTATTCAATTTTCTAAAGTTATATTTATATTTAACGTAATATTTATTAGAATTGATGCTATAATTTTGATCAATTCGTGTGTTATATCAAATTATATATACAAGATTATTTACCACAATTAAAATTGTCTGCTTTAAAATATGAACAGAATATGTTATTTTAAGATACAACAAATATTCTACACACGTACTTACGTAACAATATAACTCATGTTAATATTCGCATTAGGATATTTCGGATAGAGTATTCTCTTGATTTGCACAAGATCGTCGACCAATTCAAACATTCTGTTGTCTTTTGGATTCTTTAAAGGTTCACATATGCCACGTTGAGCCATAACGCCGGTTATCATGTGAACGACAGTTACGACCATCAGAACGCTCGTTAAAAGAAAGATGATCCACACAGCCCTGCATTCGAAATTTAAAAAATTATAATTTTACATATAAAATAAACCGATTCTTGTATTCTAGATTTGAGCGATTTTTGTACCTACATCATAAGAAATCGTGCACCTGATCCCTTGTTACAACAATCATCTCCATATCCATCCGGACGCTTTCCGCAAATACCACAAAGAAGACCACACGTCAAACACATTAAGACAGTTAGAAGAATACCGGATATACCAAGACCGAGATAATATCTAAAATAAATATTTCATATTTAAGATCAATCGCGTCAATTGTTATACATTATATATCCTTTCATACTTTACGATATATACATTTATCACGAACCTATAGGGCGAATACTGATCTATATTGTTCCGAGCAACCTCTAAATGCGGAATATAAACTCTATCTATATCGACATTTATTCTGTCGATGATGGCAGTCATGTTATTGGCGATGCTCGCTAGAAAGTTACAAGCTCGTCGAATACTCGCGCTGACCACGGGAATCGTCTGATTAACGGCATGCTGAATATCCTTTTGGATCTTTAGAAACGAATCCCTGCCTTGGCTCACTTCCGACACTATGTTACTCTCCATGAGCACAGTGATGTTATGCAACGCGAATGTAACGTCTGGCAGCTGGAAAGTACCATATACATATCACAATGTCCTTTCTCCTATAAGGTAAAAATCGGTACGAAATAATCGTCAATAAAATTTATCACAAAATAGATTGAAATTATCTTATTGAATGATTCGTGCTAAATGCAATTTCGAAAATTAAAGAATACATGCCATTTATTGACTATCATCAGATCTAATTTTATCAAGTGTAAGACTAGAAAAATGAAGAGATATTTATGTGCATATACTAGTATTTTAAAATTAGAAGAATAATCTAAAAAAGAATATTATCGGATCAAATATATAAAATGGATTTCAAATCATAAAATAAATTATTCCGTATTCCCTCTCTATCCTTAATCGGGGTAAATATGGTACATCAACATATTTTTAAATTGCTAAATTGTTGTTTGTTTCTCTCTTTAAAATACATTCTTTTTAAAAACAATATTATTTAATAATTTTCGCTCTTATAAATGACGCTCGAAACAAATAAATGCACATAACGAATGTATGCTAAAAAGGAAGTTTGATTAATAGATTCACATAATGTAGGATTTTGGCAAATATTCGCATGCATATAATTACTTTGCAAAATAAAATAACAATCTAATAATAATGCAAATAAAAGAATATTTTTATAAAATATACACTTCAGTAAAAATGCATGCTATTGCTTACAACTTACAGACGCTAGAAGCTATTTGTGGCAAGCATGGAATCAAACAAATTTATACAGTACTCTCCTTCATATGCTAATCACACAATGTGCAGAAAACCATTTGATAAACATATTTCGCAATATAAATTGCAATAAGCAAGACTGCAAACAATTGCACTGATCTACAATATGTCAAAAATTGAGAATAAAGATTCTTATTGACTTTAACTGCTCGCAGTAAAATTCGGTGACATTAGTAGTTTTATTTGAAAAAGCCAAACAAAAGTCAAGGCAAGCCTTGTACAAAGCTACCATTTTGATACATTAAAGAATAACTATTTTTAATGCACTTGGACCTCGATATAATGCTCAAAGACAGCAATGCTTTTTTAAGATTGTTCAACATTTCTCTTTTCTTGAAATTAAATTTTGCTACATATATATATCGAGGACTTCTCCGAGGGCATTTTTGTTAAATTTTATTATATTGCTAAAAGGTTTCTTTCACTTTGTAAAATCATACCTTTGGGAAATAACGGTCCATGTACTGCGTGTAAACAAGGAAAAAAATATGCTTGTCAGATAATTATCTGAGGTAGCTAATAAGATAAGAAACGGCTCGTGCACCTACTTACCTTATCAAAATCCACTTGTACCGACATTTGATTCACTTTGTAGTCGTGAAGAACTCGTTGGCACTTGTCAGTCGTGCATGCAGCTAGCGTATGAAGGAGATTTTTCTTGACGCCGCGAACAACTAAAAGATTCAATCAAGATCAAATTAATACTTTGTTTCTAAAGCTCTCGTTCCATAAAATACGATTCGTTGTAAGAATAAATCTTAAACGAGATGTAGATATGATTATATTTTAAATAAATTGGTCTAGAGTATACATGAAGGCAACTTAATTTTTTACAATTTGGTAAAATCATTTTGGTATAAATTGTAAAAAGAAGAAATATCAAATTTATCGAATTTTCCAATTTTCTAATTTGGTTCAATAAATGCGAAGATGTGTGAACAGGGGTACGCACCAATGTCTAATTGACTGGCGTTTATCCGCAAATCCTGAGTTATTTTATTCATCAGTCTCAAATCCTCTCTGATCGACTCCAAGCCGGCGACTATGTCATTCAAGTTAGTGAGGGAGACGGCATGCGAGTATTCCGCTAGTTGCTCGGTAACGATTTTGCCGCTGGCCTGCAGAATATTGTTGAGCGTAACTTCCAACTCCTCGGGATTGGTCTTGAGCAAATTGTCGATCTCTTGCTTTGTGGTAGTCAAGTAGAGCTTGACGTCTTTCAGACTAGTCTTGGCGTTAGTTGGAAGCTCTTTGGTTCCCTCCTGCATGTACTCGTTTGTCACGAAGGCGCAGACCACACCGAATCTGCGATTATTAATAGTCGCAATTAATCGTCTACATTTTATTTCGCCGAGTAAAAACAGCAAAATGTTGTGGAAATATTTTGCATATTTATAATTGCCCTATAGAACTTTAAACAATTTTAAGGCTGTCGTCAAATAAGCTTTAAATATTAAATTAATATCATAAATAGCTTTAAATATTAATATAATAGCTTTAAATATTAAATTAAATTAATATCATAAATAATAAAAGCGGATTAAATTGTATTCGGGTTGATTAAATTTTGAGAAGAGAAAAGTTAATTGTGAAACTGTGCGATACGTATAATGCATCGACATATTCATTAATATTGAATGGAGAAAGCGTATTTTCAGAATTTCCAAATATTTGGAGTTTTTGTCACTATTCAAATATGTATATGGCATTATTTTTGTTTTCCCAATATCTCTGTACAATACGTATAAAGATAATAAAAGCTCGGAGTTAAATATTAAGACAAATGTTTGTCAAATTATGTTACGAATATTACTTGACGAATCTTTCGAACAAAAAATCTTACAATATAATAGTAGCGACTCCGATTAGCACAATGCTGAGCATAATCTTCCTGCAGTGATCGTGCTTTTTATCGAAGGGTTGGCTTCGAGCACCGCAATGCCCCGCGCATCTGCAGCAGCAGAAGAAAAGACCCGCGCAGGGGAGAATAGCCGCTAAGAGAAGTCCAATCAGAGCGAGACTCGCAAGTCCTCCGTAATGTGTCACTATAATCTTCCATTCCTTTAGAGGGTCCGCGAAAGCCGGTGCACCGTCAACCACAGTGATCATACCTGCGGAACAGAGATATTTTGTCTGGTTATCAGTGGTTAGATACTATGAAACACTGACATTTAATTAAGAGAAAAACTGGCTTGTTTTTTACTGCGATTTTTTACTTTACGATTTAGACTTGATGTAAAAAAAAAAGGCAAATCTCGCGCGATCGAGCTGAAAAATGAGCGAGCGCGCCAATTTCTTGGCAGCGCTAAAATCTCCGCAGTAAAATCTGCAATATGAGAATTCTAAAGAGCTTGTTCAGCGGTTTGTACAACTCTCATGTGACGTATCGACTCATATCTGAGAATAAAAAAATGGTAAAATTTTAAGAACGCGTATTAAAAAAATGATAGAATATAATATCGTGAAACGGGCGAAATTCTCGATGTAACGAAGCCGGCAATTCTTCCATCGAATGATACCGAATGTATAAAAACGGAGCTACGTGTTCGCTATCGGAACAGCTGATGGTCTGTCGCGTCCTTTCTCGGTGGGGAGAACCGGGCCGAACGGATAGAATGAGGCCGCGTCGAATCTAGGTCATAGGTCAGGGTGCCGGAAGGGTTGCCAGGTCGCAACGGAAAACAACGAGGACGGACGGCGAAAATTTATTTGCCGGGTAATGCGACCCAAGGAAATGGGTCAGAGCCCTGCTTGCTGGCTGTGTTTTAGATCGCCGGCCGTAGCCGTAGCGAGCTGAATCGATCTACATCTGGTGATTCTATGCGCTTTTCTACGCTCAAGTACGCACGCGCGATGCAATCGCGGTCGCGGCTCGCAAAAGGATCGGGACGAGTCCGAGAAATGTCCCTCCGCGATTCTCCCCCCCCCCCCCGCGTCTTCTCACCCTCCGGCAAATTTTCACAGACAACCCAGCGAGGAGGATAATATGCCCGAGTTGACGTTCGCGACACGCACGATTCGAAAAGATGGCGTGTTTGATTTCATGTAACGAGATCGCGATCCTGGACCGCGATTCTCGCTCTAGAAATCGCACTTGTCGCGAATCATCGGGTGCACACGTATTCAGTGATGCGTGAAAGCATTCCTTTCTCTTTATATTATTATTTATATTACGCTCTTTCTCGAAAATATGTTGAAGCTCCGACCGCAATACTGTAAATTCTACGCAATAATGTATAATGGTGGCACAAATTTATCATTTCTAAAGTTAATATTCCATATTTTTAGGATATTGATATAATTTATGGAATTATAATCTCGAAAAGCAGTAAAGTTTCTAACACGATTCAAAAAGTTTTGGCTATTAAATATGAAAAATGAAGGTCCAATCATATGTATTTATATGAGATATCAACTTTACATCTTACTTTCTCTATAATAACTTTTTCATTTCAAATGGCGATAAATTTGTGTATTAAATATATTATTTTTAACACGAATGAAATATTTGAGGAATAAAAATGTGAGATTAATTTTATAAAATTTCTAAAAAATTTCATTATTCAAAGAAATTATTCTAAAAGAATTAACTTTGAGAAAGAACGCAGTTGAGTAAAATGGGTTAAATTTTGCCGAATATTTGTCTAATTAGAGTTTCTCTAAAAGCACACCTCGTTTGCAAATTCGAATCAGAGCAAAGGCGGTATCAATCAAGTCCTATGAATCATGGAGAAGGTTTTGAGGACAATTCTAGTTAGCGATAGCAAACAAAAAAGAATAAGTCGTGATTGGACTCGTTAGGTAGCACGTATGCAATGTCGAATAAATCAGAAAATTTAATGGAAATTACTATTTGACGTGTTATACTCTATTAAGATTATTCGATAAAATAATTATTTTAATAATTTTAATTTTAAAAATTCGTATGATTTCCAACATTGTCTAAAATTATTTAAAAAAATGATTATTGCTATTTAAATTCTTGTAGTTTATTGACTCATCTATAAATAAAATAATGTGTGCGACAGGTTTCGCTATGATAAGCAGGACACAGGGTTGCGTCTTATGAAAGATAGAAAAATCTATAATTTATTTTTATCGTGGAAAAGGACGTTAATGACGTCGACAGTGTAATGACCGATGATAAAAAGGGCATTAAGACTGTCATAATTGTGCAATGAAACGATAATAATCCTTGTTATCTAAAAATTCATTGACGGTCCTCTAGATTTTTTGTTGAATGAGAATTTATCTCAAGTCATTAAAACGTATCTCGTATTTATTTTCTGTTAATTAAACGTACATATACGACAAGTGAATAAACATGTTGATAAATATTGTAGAAATATGTTTTTCAGCATGTCACAACATGCAATATTCTATTGTTACATAAAACATGGGTAGCTATACACGTTGTGGAATCATGTTGCATAGTCAATTTTTCCCAGAGTTGCTTATTAACTTTCGATTCGAGAATAGAAATTTGACGGAAACGCGATATGGTCGACAAAGATGTACGACGTCTTCCTGGACCGAATTTCAAGAAACTAGGACGCTGCGATTCAACTTGAAAAACGACCACTCTGAAAATTTGTCCTCCTTTGCGAGAAAACGACTTTTAGTTCTCGCGATACTTTAGTCATCGCTTTCGGAACCGAAAACAATCGTTTAGATTTAGATTTACGACTTAATTCGATGGCCTATTTACACTTTAATTATAGTTTAATTCTTCATAAATACGTTAGAATATCATAAACATATCTCAAATACTAGTTTTCTAATTTCATATATTAATTATAATGACGAAAAATTGATAGGGTGTCTTTTTAATAGAGATCGAAAGAATGAAAGCATCCTTATAGTGTCTACGTACAGTGACATATGTAAAATGAATATTCTATCGACAAACCAGCAAACCAGTGCAATCGTGCAACTCACGGCACACTCACTGTCGTCCAGGTAAGGGTTTCGATCGATTTTCCGCAGTCATTGACCTCCATGGTTACGTTAATGCTGCCATCGCCATCGTTGTCGCCAGGTTTAGATCGTGGTGTTTTAACGGTTCCCACATTAATCGTTGATTAAATTCTGCAATTTTTTTTCAATATCGTAGAAAGGAACCGACGAAACAATATTTATTTTTGATAAGACATTGATCGAGACAGTTTTTTGTTCTTTTACGTTTTACGCTTTTTCAATTTACAAGTCAAAAATGCGATAAAATTGTAATTAATAGTCACGTATAATATTTTCATAGCGAATAAAGATACAATTAAAAATATCACAAACAGTTTACACATTATACATTATTCTGTCTAGAGTTTATTTACGAAGACAATATTACAAAGTAATCGAGGAGCAAGTTTAAAACACCCTTCTTCGCTTTTTATTATCGGAATTTTCTAGCCGATAATTCCGACAGAAACTTCCGCCATTATCCTAATGAAGAAATCCATTGTCTGTCACGGTACAGCAAATATTGGTATATGCAATATTCTGATTGAAAGTTATTTTTTTCAGCTCGAAAATGAAATGATAATGCTATAGGAATTTTTTCGTAAAGTTAAATTAATTTCCAAACACGCAGGCTTCATACATATAAATCAATGCAGATTTTTTTAAATCAGAGTCACAGTCTAATTAGTCGCGACGATTCTCGTTTTATCGCCAAACGACATTAATCGAAAATGATGGGAAGACATTTGTGCAATGCAATTAAATGGTAGTTACTTAAACTGTACCATTAGTTTCTATCGACGCGAATTTCCGTAATGAAGTCGCTCGCTGAATTTTTTCCAAAGCCGATATCTCCATCAGTTACGACTGATCTATTGGGATAAATTAAGTCGAGAAAACTGTGACAAATTAGCGATCAAATCCTGCCATCGATTGGCTCCGACTGGATTCGGGTTAATGTAAATGTTCCACGCATCATCGACATTAATCAAGAATCAGAAAATGATTGCACCTGGAATATATAAGAGATGTATCTTTTATGGGGATTTTGTATCGTCTTTGTAAATGTCTTATTGTTAGTAATTTAGAAACATTTAATCGATTGCGACTATAGTGATATGTAAATATTTTATTAAATATTTTATGGTCTATTTAAAATTAAGAAATTATTTCAAGCCTTATAACTCGAAAAGTACTCGATGAAAAAATACTTTATTATAGTGTTTTGAAAAGTTCTCGAGATAAGTTATAAGAATAAGTAATAAAAAGTAGGGGGTTTCGTTTAAAAAATTAAAGGTGATCTTCATGGGTCCTTCAAACAATTATCCAAGATCAAACCAATGGCAGCATGTTATGTCTCTCTTCGAGTCAAACAATATTTATCTGAAACATTTTTCTATATTTAAAGCCGTTTCTGAAATCCAGAGGTCGGACTTTAGAGATACCCTGTATATACGGTAGCTCAACTATATAAAATCCAGATAAAGCTCACTCGCACATCTTTTTGTTAAAAAGGACTTTCTTGGTGTGTTCCAGAAATTCTACCACTTTTCATCCTCTTGCTTTTCTCGTTGCCGCTCTTTTTCACCAACTACTTACTAGACCGACAACGAGTTATACATCTCATTATTTTAAAGAGCAAAACATTTGGCGTACTTTTTTCGAATCTCAAGCGAAAAGGGAGGAAGCTTTTTTTATTATTTTCATGAGCAAACTCACATGTGTGTTGCAGAAATGTTGCATGGAATTATACACACATGTTGCATTTTTTCTAATTATCTTGCACTTATTCATTCCGTTTGAGACAAGAGCGAGTACGAACTTGAAGGAAAAATTGCCATGTATCCAGATGGCACGCATCTGTAAAACTACAATTGTAAAATTTTGTCTGCATAGAGATGCATTTCATCAATAAACGAGGCTGAGAATTTTAAGATGATTAATGATAGAACAGATGTCGAATTAAAGGTATATTATAGAAATTAAATATCATCTCTCTCTCTCTCTTTCTATATATGTGTGTACAGGGAAAAAGAGAGAGAAATATATGTTGTGTGTGTAAGAGAAAGAGAATTTTATGTTTAATATTGTTTATATTTAATTCTATAATGTATTTTTTTTAATTTGCCGATCTTTGTTTGTTGTTCATATATAC